TTTTTAAACAGAGGGTTTTATTTAAATTTTCCTTCATTGAGTTAACTTGAATTCAAAGTTGACCTAAATAGAAGCTGCTGATTATATAATACTGTAGTTCTTGGGTGAGTTAGCATCACTCTGGAAACACAAGAAGCGAATGAGAAAAAAAAAATCATCCACATTTTACAAAAGTTCAAGTTTCCAAAACAGAATATTGAATTAATCAATTTTTTTAAAATATTGATTGTTGCAAGATTACATTGACGCAATCGTAGCCAGTCTTTTGATACATAAAATCAGTGCTACAAATTGAATTCCAACATACACTTGTGTACACACTTCATCGTACAGTGTTTCCAAAATGGCAACATTTTTACTCCTTTGAACATTATTTGTGTCCATGATTTTCTAATCCAACCAGAAGGCGTTGGACTGGACAGAAACTCAGACCGAGTCATCAGATCACGGAGAGCAGAAGCCGACTCCGAATCCAAAGCCATCAACCTACTCCACCTGCCAGTCACAGTGGAGCATGTACAAATCCCCTTCTTCTACTGTGTAGGCGTTTGTTAACTCAGTACAAATCCTGGAGCCATCTGCTGCTTGGCAGACGCTCGCGCACACACATACACACACAAACAGCTCCTCTCATTGTGTAGATGTGTGTTTGTGCAAGTGCTTGTGCATCTCCCTCACCAGGCCTTTTACTGGTGCAACAGTGGGTCACTGAGAAGCAGTGATGAGAGGCAGCAGAACAGCGCCATCACTCAGCATTCTTATTGTTTGTTTTTAAAGCGAAAGAGACTTTTACTAACAGAATGTTTTTGTGACGAAAGATGCTGGAAACAACACACAAGCCTCCATGGAAATGACACAGCTTTCTTACAGTCAGTACATTTTCACCCTGAAGCTCCGTGATCTGACAATTCTCTAGAGCAAAGAAACAAATGAGCAAAGGCTCGAGTCTTTGACTGTACAAAACAAAGAAAGCTCCCCAGAAGTAAAAATCTAGGCAGGAAACTTTAATTGACATGTTAGAAAAGCATTTGCTCCACTGTGGTCTAAAGAGCAAATTGAAATGTTTGAAATCGCTGACCAACTAATCCTTTCGTATTTCCTCCTCATTTCTTCTACGTGGCACAAAAGATTCAAATCTATGATGAAGACTCTCTCAGAGAAACGTGTCGGGAAATGAAAAGTAAAAAAAGTAGAAAAATAAAAAACATAAAATAGACATTAAATAGCTCCATAAAGACAAAATGTAAGACTTGGGAAAAAACATATTTACTTTTTTAATGGATTCAAGACATTTTAAGGCCTTCACGTTAGAAATCAACCCTTAGAAACATGAATTTAAGACTTGTTAAGAATGTGCGGACACACTGTGTCTGGACTATTAAAAATACACAGTTTGATCTTCTCCATTTACAGCTCATAAAGAGAAATCCAAAACATCTGAAGTCAGTATTGGCAAAGCAAAGCTTCACAAAAGCTGGAAGAATCACTGCTCAACCCCAGGCAGGGCGTTTTCACCCAAAACAGCAAAACTTGTACGGCTCGTTCAAGTTTGTTATACGTCAAAGCATCTCTGATGAATTACCTTCTTTCAGGGCTTTGTCCACGTTGTGAGACACCACCACTCTTCTGCTCAGGCCGGACTCCTGCGCAGGCACTGAAAACCGACCCTGAGGGACAACCAGAGCACCAGGTCACTTCACTTTCAACCTCACATTTGGGAAAGCAGAAGAGATTAGCAGTTAGCATTTTAATATATCTAAGAGAGGAGAACTGTATCCCTGATAAACAATCTGTCAGAGCTGACACAACATGTCAACAAGACAGATGTCTGCACCAATCTCCCTCCATCGTCAATAAGTCATCGGCACACAGCAGCAAACGACGCAGCTGAAAGACAGGCCAGCAGCCAGCTGCAAACACAGCATTGTTTTTCTGAAGGAATGGACAATCATTTACTGGGTGTTTAGCGTAAATTAAGCAGGATGGCATGAAAGCCAGAGTTCAAGATTCAACCTATTAGTTCAAGATTTAAAAAAAAAAATTGCAAGAACAAAGAGAAAACATGAGAAATACAGAATGAGAATAGAATAAAACTAAGAGCATGCAGGTATGATAACAACAGGGGTTGGTGTCGATGGAGACTATCAGATTTAAATAATTACAAATCAGAAAGGAAATAATTCAGGAAGAATATAATGTAGTCATCGTTTGATAAGAGGGTTGCTTTCTCTTTAATATTGTAGTAAACAGGTCCACATTTATCTACTGATACTTGACTCTAAAACGGACCAAATCTGATTTTAATTCATTAATTCAACTTTTAGAAATGTGCAGCAGGATAGCAACTTAACCTGGCTCTTACAGCTGAAAATGGACTGAATCCAACATATACTTTCTGAAAATTGTTGTTGAGCTCAAAATAGTTTGAATAATGTATGTCTTTATTTTAAAGATGTGCAAACATCTCTTTTCCACAATTTTTTTTTCAATTACTCACTTGTTTAATGAAAATGATTGTACGTTTAGTTTATTGTTGAACTTAGACAGATAATTGTTTTAAATTTCAGCATTTTCAGAAGAAAATCTTTACAATTTTGATCCATGTCATCAGTTAAAATTATCAATATATTTTTAATTCTTAAGCTACGAACTAAAAATGTTTAATTTGTTTTGTTTTTTATCTGGGCAGGAGGGTACCATGTACTTGCTAAGTGTTTTCTTTTTTCTCCATTGTCTGATGTACTAAAATATGTTCTCTATGAATACATTTCTATAGATACATCCATATTATTAGAAGGAGTAATCTTCCTACCATCAGCCTATTGAAGAACTCCAGACGAGCAGCTGACTGCCTCCTGTTTCGGTCAAAGCAGCTGACTTTCAGAGGGCTCTTCCTGACGAGCAGCACGAAGCTCCCGGCCAGGAAGCACAGTAAGGCGAATGAGACGTAGATGAAGAGCTTCAGCAGGACAGAGGTGAGAGTCAGGCCTCCCCAGGCCAGCTGAAACGCAACAGCCGCCACCACGCCCAGGCAGAAAGCCGGGACGACCCGGAAAGAGGAACCGTTGGTGGAGTCGGCACTGGCAGCCATGGGATCCTCTTCTCCTCCGGTGCTGCTGCTGCTGCTGCTGCTGCGGCGGCTGCTGCTCCCTCCAGCCAGCGGCATAGTGGTAGTTGAGGGGGTGGGCATGCTGCGACCTCACCATCCATATATCTGTCACTGCTTGTTAGGCTGCAACTCCGCAAGTGCCAGCAGCAGGTGGACGCCGTGCACTCCGGTATTCCATCGACTACAGCACTGTCTCCAAGAAGAGGCATCCCCGCTCTGACATCTCCTCCTCGAGCCGCACCGCTACGTCTTCCCCGCTCCTCGCATCGGGCCACCCGGTGGCAACAGGCACTGACTCCGCCTGCAACAACAATCCAGACGGGAAACGCACCGCGCTCGTCTAAGGTTTTGGCAGCAGCCTCTCGGAGAACAGACAGAAAGACTCAGAGTGATGAGACGATGAATGAAGTGAGAAAAGTCGTCACCTTGGAGACAAAGAGGCGGAAAAGAAGCTGAGCGACTGCTCGCCAAACTGAACAAGGAAGATATTTACCTGAAAAATAGCAATAGAGGGCAATATTGTTGCGCTTAAATATACAAAAAAAAGGCTTGTAATTGACTAGCAAGCATACTGACGGAAGGTAGCAAACTAGCTTGCTCGCTTCGTAACCAGTTCAACATCAGCTAAGGTTAGCTTACTCACCTCGCGCTGAAGAGTTTCTGACAAGAACCTCACAATTCTGTTTTCCGAACAGCAATACCAAGTCGTTTCAGCGGGCCGAGCAAGCTTATAAACATTACCACTATTTCGTCAAGGGCCGCTAGACGAAAACAAGTAACCGTTATTCACCTTAAACCTCCAGCTGACTGACAATCTCTCACAACGTGAAACGGTGTCAGCCAATGAGCGTTGGCGTTAAGCGCTGACGTCTCGCCCGTTTTAAACCTCCGCGTAGTTTGAAAGGGCGGGGAGTTCAAGCTTGAACACAGCCACCTATTCACTGGTAGAAGCGCCGCCCAGTAAAGCGGTTTCCCGTAACATTTAATCAAGCGTACCAAAAGATAAAGGCTCGTGCCCCGCTTGTGTGACGACAGATTTTTGTCTCAGACAGCCGTTCACAACAAAGGCGCCATTCAGCGTCAACAGCAGTTAATATTTTCACACGCAGCGATGATAAATCATATGTCAGCCATATCTAAATTAGTTATTAACACGGATATTACTTTCTTAGAATATTTAAAGTGTTTTATTGAGCAGAAACTTCGTTTTTAAGGATAGGTTGGAAGACAGACATGCATGTGTAAAAAAAAATAAAATAAAGGTCACTGAGCAGAAATAGATCTGCATTTTCAGATGTTCATAAGTACATTCTTGTTTTCGAGAATAAACATTCTGAATATCCTATTAAATCTATCTATGGAGAATTATCTGCCATACTGGGCATGGACACATACAGTCCTTTTGTTTATGGATTTTAGATGTTCAAAATGAAAGCCTTTTACTTTAAATCCAGGCTATGCAGCAATTTAGAGTACAAAAGGGCTATATTAGTATGGTAATTAGAGATAGGAGGTGAATTTTCTTATCTTACAATAGTATAATCGGACATGAGTGAATGTTGTTTGATTGTATTTTGTATATTCTATCCCGGTTATTTATACTCTAGGAGTAATCATAAACATCCATGTCTATAGACCAACCCAAGATAAGATCTGCTTCCTGGAAACAACAACAAACTACAATATGGGTTTAGAAATAAGATGAAAATAAGTGTAAATCAGATGGACTCATGCTTATGTTTCACTTTGTAATCTGTCCCCTGCTAATGTGATCACAAAGTCACATGTTACGCTACTGGAACATGGAGCACATAAAATTCTCCATAGACTAGCAATGTGTTGATTCAAGTTGTGAAATAAATCAAAAGTAAGACAACATACAACCCTGTCCGTCAGTAAAAGCAATGGATTTATTTGCAAGGACATTTGATGATGAGTTGAATCAGCACAGTGCTTGACGGGGTAGTTTTGAAAGGATATGCCACCCCATTGTTTAGATAAAATACACATGTTCAGTCAACTGTGCTTGTGTGATAATGTCTCATGTCAATCCAATGTTTCATTCCTTCTCAATAATGCTGACATCAGACTTCCTCTTATGTCTTCAAACCAGACAGCTGGATGCAATTTCCTCTTACAACATTCAAGTCTGTAGAACTGACCAAAACTTTCACACATTCTCAATTTTGTCCCAATGCGGTTTAAGTACGACGATATGATGGATTGCAAAGTATTTTTGTTCCATTTGCCAAAGTGAGCATAACCTAGGAAGGTGGCTTGAGAGAAACTGCCACCTGGTTGCCAGTTTTGTGGTCTACGGGTCTCAGCTTCATGATGCTGGTCTTCAGCGAGTACCACCACCCTCTCCAAGGATACCAGACCAAACCGTCATCTGTGGAAGCACTGTAGTGTCCGTTGGGATAGTACACGCCATTGAGATTGGCTGAGTGGCATCTATGGAAAATACCAGTCGAACAGAGCATTTTATTTGTTAATGTCATTGGAAGACATAAATGTGGGTTTTTGTTTGGGCTCATACTTATTGAACCACCAGCCCCCTTTGTCTTCCTGAGCACAGTTCCCTCTGTAGTTGTCATTGTCCCGGTCGTAGGTGCTGAATTTCATGCCCTGGTGACTGGCCCATTTGACCTCAGGAACCTGGTAGCTTCCAGTCAAAGCATCTCCAGCGGTACCAACATAGTCTCCAAAGGAAAGGCGGTAGTGCTCCTACTGACGGAAGAAAAAATAACGACTTGCATGAGGTTAAGGACAAAATTTGGGATGTTTTTTTTAAATGAATAACATTAATAACTTGACTCACACTGAATAAATCTAATTTAGTTGCCAACATCCAGACATCCAAGAGTGAAGTGAACTTCTATCATTTCCAGTTTTTAAAACTTTGATTTGTCAACGGAAACCTTTAAGATGTTGTCACATTTGAGGTAGGCGTTTCTGTCTACAAAAGTTGATGTTTCTTTTTAACAGGACCCTCAGGTATAAAGCAATACACAAATAATGATCCTGCTGTGTAAAACGTACTGCATACCTGGCCTTAAATTTTTTCGCGTATTCTTTCCCAGTACCTTCCACACTGACAGATCAGGAGTTAGAGCACCAACTCCTACCTTTATTTCCCATGGAAATAATCTTTTTCTCTGTAAATAACCTTCCAATGCAATCGTGACAACGGTTCCAACTACATAAAGTGAACTTTGCATAAAACCGCTATAATCTTTCTTAAAACTGGAGTTGTTTTAAGACAGTGGAGGCCCACTTTGTCTTTGGTTCAATCTGTTTAGCTGTCTTTCCAGCTAAATAGCTAACTTAATGGCTACCTAGTTATAACTAGCTAGCTTAGCCACTAGCTAGGACTCTTAGGTAGGTAGTGTTAAGAATTAAAAAGATGAAGAACTTGATCTTAGCTCGTTAATTAATTCTTAGTCCCGAATTCCTGTGTCTGTGTAAGTGTGCAGAGAGAAAAGAGCAATCGTACGACGTCAGACTTCAGATATTCAGAGTTTTATCCAGAGAAAATCAATGCAAGAAGAATGTTACAATAATCATCTCACCTAAAACATCAAAAGTCCAAGACATTACAGAACAGAGACAAAGAACTGAGTAAAAAAAGACAGAAGATGCATCCTCCGGGAAAACTCTCACCCAGCACAAAGAGATTCCAACTTCTGCTGTAAACCAAATCATTTTATAGAATGCGTAATCTCATCATTTAAATATATGCATTAGGAGGTGTGTTCTTTTCCTTTGTGTGGGCTGTCTCAATGTTAATTTTATTACCTCCTGCTAAAGAGCCCCAAAAGCAGATATACGGCAAACCCTTCTCGTACCAGCCGCTGTCCAGTTTGATATATGATTGCAGCTGCAGCGCTATCTCTGCCTCAAACTGTTTTCACAAGAAAGTAGTTTGTATTTTTAACCAAGCTTGCACACAATGTAATGCTAAATAATGACTATAAGTTTGTATCTAATAAGTAACTAATTAAAAACATGCTTAAAGAAATATAGTTAATTCTAATATAGATAAAATTATTTATAAAAAGTTTTAAGATCCTAGTGAACTTTTGAACCATGCTCAGGAATTTGTTAATTGCCTGGCATATAGGCTCCTTATCTCAAGAGATCCAAGGAGTCTAGGCCTATGTTTTCTGTTTCTTCTGTCTGATCCTCCTTTTAAGAATTTATCTGCGTTTCAGAGATTGAGCCGTTGTTTTTAGTTTCATCTAAATTTATATGAACCTAGAGTGTACTTTAACTTTCTGTGTTATATTTTATATGTGTCAAAGCTATCCTGTGCAGTATTGTGCTAACTTAAAATTCTATGTCAACAGTAGCCAGCTGAAATTAAGATATAATGTTACTCAATCTGTTTTCCTTTTGATCTTCAAGCAACTATACAGTGACACACATAATGTATTCCATCAAATTTACAGACTGGGACCTTTTCATTTGCTACTTGGAAGTTCTTGTACTCAGCATAGCGCTGGTGGCCATCAAAGTCTTCCAAGTTGATCTTCACTGAATAATTCCCTGCAAAACAAGGATCCACAAGAAAAATAATAAGTTTGTGCAACATACAATGCGGCCTGTAGAAATTGAAGCACTATTGCGTTGGTATGATGAGGATGTCCTGGTGCTGGAATCCCAGCAAGACCACCAGAGATAGACACCAGCAACCCTGCGAGAATTTTGCGGCCATAGAAAATTGAGAAGCAGGTGATTGTGGAAAACACAAGTGTTCTCCAAAGCACTAATAGTTATTTTTGACCACTTGATGGCAGCAGACAAACAAAGGCTACCGAAAAGGATACGCATGGCTTTTTCCACAAAGTGGACACTTAAAAGAGCATTTGCATTTTTTAGTTTCCAGTCTACAGAGCAAAACAGTATTCACCTTGTGTTGTGAGAAAATGCAGCTTGTCGTTTCCAAGCCAAAATTCTCCATTCAGGTCTCCAAAGCCATCCTTATACTCTGTCCATGACCTGATAGGTTGATAGTTGAGGAGATTTTTTATTTTTTTACACAGATCATTGAGTCTGAACCAATGCCTATGACACAGCATGTTGCAGACACACCTGTTAAATGCCTCTGTGCCATTGACCCGTCTCTGTAGGACAGTCCATCCTCCTCCTTCACTCATATCACAATAGACCTTGACCGCTGAGGGGCTCCCACTGGGCCTGATCCGATACAGACCGCTGGATTTGAACCCAGAACTGTAGACCTGGGAGCAGTCTGACACACAGAAACACAAGTCCGTTTATCCAGCACACAGCATAATCAAATACAGTTTCCACAGAGTTTCCACAGGGTTTCCTCAGGGCGCGAGGCAGTGGGCGCTGACCTGCGTGCTGGGTGTCCTGAACCCGGTCAGATCCGGCATCGTTGTTGTTGCCCTGTTGGGTCATCAGCTGTAAGCTGCGTAGGAGGAGCTCCTGTTTCTGAAGCTGTCTCTTCAAAAGCTGCTCCTGCTGCCGCAACCGAGCCAGCTCCCCGCCGCAGCCGTCTGACGCCTACACAGACACATACACACATATGTGTTGTCCCTGACATGGTCACATCTATTCCTTTCCATTATCTCATTTGGTTTCAAATATGCCTGTTGGAAACACATTTTGCCTGTTAGAAAGCAAAATGTAGAAAATATGTGGGAAATAAAACACACTGCAATTATGTAGCCTTTAAAATGAATGACCAAGTCTGTAGAAATGTCAGCTTTTGTAGGAAATATATAAAAATGTCATTGTGTCGTGACAGCATGGTTTGAGGCAAGTAATCTGTGAAAAAATCAAGCTCCTGTGTCTTGTCCCAGTACTAACTAGAAGCAACCAATGAGAGCCAGGAGGAGGGTCTTCATTCTGTCAATCATGCCCGTGTGCGTGCCTCCTCCCCATACACATCCCTCTCTCTTGCCCTCTGCCAACAGCTTCTCTTTGTCAGCGGAGCCTCTCGTGAATGCTAAGGCTAGCTAGCATGGCCTCTGATGATGGCGGATAAACAGATTTTAGGTAACAGTGAGATGTTTCTCTTCCATTAGCATATTTAGGAGCACATTCATGAGGTTGATTAACAGCGTTAAGACACTCCCCCTGGTTTTGATTTGGTTATTTCTGACGGCAACGGCAGCAAGAAGATGATTATCTGTTTCGTGTTACACGGCCATGTCATTATACGACATGGTGATAGTTTGAACAGGTATGTAAAAAACATACTTTTTTTTATTAGGTGCGTTGTATACGCGCACCTTTAAAAATCTGGAATTTTGTGACAAACTTTCAATCACATGTTTCTGTAAGGCTTTGACACGCTGATGCCAAGTTTAGCTATCTCCCGTTTCTCTTGGAAAATAATAAAGGAAGCCATAAGAATAACACTCCTGTGTTGCTATCATACAATAGTCATCATGAAATACAATACGTTTCAGCTGAAGGTGAAGTGGAAACAGTTAAGCAGAACCTTTTTGGCTGCATTGTGACAAAATATAAAAAATTCAAGAGGTACATGGATTTTACAAAGCGTAAATACACAACACCCCAGAACAGCATGGGGATTATTCAAAGTATTCACCTTGACAAAGTGGGTGCAGGCGGCCAGCATCATCAGTCCTGCTAGCAGGGCCATGGTGGGGACTCTCTTCCTCTTCTTGTTGAGAAATTGCAGCACAACCAGCAAGAAGTCAGTAAAGCAGACAGATTCTTCAGGGTTTGGGTTTATCTGCTTGATTCTTGCCCTGGAGAATGGAAAAATCTTCCTACAACTGAGTCAAAACAGGGGCAGAGCAAACAGGAGGAGCACCAGTAGAAATGCCTGATTCTCCACGGTGATAAAACACACCAAATGTTCAGAACAGATGTGCCCACAACCTGCCGAGACCAACTTCATGTCAACAACAAGTTCCTGATATCAAACTTGTTGTTAAAAACAAGCTTAGTGTGATACTTTGATTCTTTGATTCTTCTTGGCCAACGCACCGTGGCTCCCGTCTGGCCCATCCTCTGTGAGTGTCATTGAGACTTGAGTAGTCATCATCTGTCTGATTAGCAGCTTTGTGCCATTTGAAATAATGGTTTGGAGTGGCTGAATGCGGCTGAAGGTCAGCGTTTGTAGGAGGATGGAGGACAGAAGGAGGCCATTTCCCTCCATTATTTGGTTGCATAATTGTTCTGTGACTGATTGCAGTCAGACAGCCTCGTTTTATACACACGGTGCAGAAAATAAGTATTTAATACACTGCCAATTGTGTCAAATGGAAAGGGTTTTTAAAATTATTATAACAGCATCTGAACGTTGAGAGGCAGAAAGAGAGAATATTAATAAAAAAAATCACAGAAAAAACAATGAATGATTTTGAAAATAATTAGCATTTTATTGCATGAAACAAGTATTACAAAATAGAACGTAGCATCTGATACAGAAAACATCTTGGCTTCTTTTGTGATTAATGAAAATTTGTAATGTTAATCCTGAAGGTGAATTTAGACTGGTGAATCGAAATGTGTGTTTGAAAAACTGCAACTAGCCTAAGAATTATTCATTTATGATGTATAAAAATGGTATTTTTACTCAATCAGCACACATGTTTCTGACAGGAAATGAGATGTTTATCTTTCCAAAGATAAAATAAAATATGTAACTGTATAATTAACTTTGAAAACTCACATCCATGTGTTTTTATTTACATTTTAATGAGGAAAACAGCATGTTGGATATTATTCAGATTTAGCAATCAGACGGCATACGTCGTGGTCACGTCTAGGGCTGAAACAATTAAACAAATTAATTGTGATTAATCGATTATTATCAAGTTGAGTCATCGATTAATTGCTAACTACGTACTAACAACAAAAATCAACAGACTCAGGGCAGTAACTGGGTCAAAACTGTTAAAATAGATAGTTAGCTCCTTTTTCTGTTCAGTTATTACTCAGTGAGCCCAAAAATAGTCACCAGATTAACTTAATACTCTATTGATGTTAAGTTGAGCCCAGCTTTTCACATGTTGATGGTTTTCTTTTTAACTACAAATGTTAATAAAAAAGTAATTCAGTTTTTGCAGTTTAGGCAATCAAATATTTTTTTAATTTAGAAAAATGCGTCAGAAAAATCGACAGCTTAATCGATTACGAAAAGAAATGTAAGTCGCAAATCTACTAACGCCCTTTGGGAATCAGCATGCGAGATTCAGAGCAGCTTCTAATTGGTCCTGATTACAGTCAGAAGCTTCACTTATACATGACTGAGTCCTGACTGCACTGCTCCAGCCCCAGCAGCAGTTTTATCATAACAGTCAGGTTAGTCACACTGAGAGCATTACTGTTTGCTCAGCAATCTCTTGTGAGTTGATGTTGTTTCCTCTGCGGAGCTCTGTTCACTGGTCTGCGATCCTACGCAAACACGCACACACACACACACACACACACACACACAAAATGTTTGTTTTCTCAGGCAGAGAATGCGTTTTCAGCTAAAATAATCATAAATAACTACACCTTCATAAAAGCTAATAATTATCTGTTTTTTTTTCAGCTTGGAAACTATGACAAACGTAAAAAAAACCAAAAAACAGCAAGACTTTGTTACTTTTGGTTTTTGCTGATTTTCCCAGCGGGGAGACCTCAGGGTCGTCTGGTTGGACATCATCCGTTTTCTTGTAGTAATACGGTTGGTTGGGTGGGCCGAACCTCTACGTTCAAAACACCACACACAGTTCCAAGGTTTGCAGCTGTGCTACTTACCCAGAGAATACAACAGTGTGGTCACAAAATACCTTGTCAGGCCACATGAAACTGACGAAGAGAACGAGGGGAAGTCCAACGATGAAGACATAGACGCCCATGAGCCAGGGACGCTGCTCGATGGACAGCATGACGGACTCCAAGAAACCAGGCTGTAGCATAGATGGATGAATACAGTGTTGATTACATACTGAACATATGCAGGGCTGGATTTACAACTATCTAGACCCATGGTGCCCTATCCTCTGAAGAAACTGTACTTCCCTAATGCAATTTACAATACATTAATAGGTAGTTCTATAACTAAACAGGGTCTGAACTGATTATACCAACTGATTATGGTTTAATATGTTTAATATATCCCTTAGCCAGTATCTTCATGTTGTTACACTCCTAACCCTCCCAAAGAAAACAAAAAAAAAATTAATCACAAAATAATTTTGAAATACTTGAGTGTTGTTTATATTCTTACAAATCCCAGAATATTATTACAGCTCAGCTGATGTGGATCTGTAGCTCTAAGATAAAGTGCAATGTATTCAAAACATGCATCCATAAAAACTTGTTATAAAAATGTGAGAAAAAAATTCTGACCCGCCCCTGAAAAATTGGTGCCCTGGGCTACTGCCCCAGTAAACACTTTCTAACATTCAGCCCAGCTTGTAATGTCAGATTTTTATTACCAACCATGAATCATTTTCATCAAGTTTCACAATTATGCACAACTTGGCATTGGTTTATCACACTGAATTAAAATTGAAGAAGGTTATTGTGTCCACAGTCGGGTTGGAAATAGCTTATTTTATGCAGCTACATTTACTGATGTAACAATTTGGGGGGAAATTACTTTTAGGAGTATTTTTACAATGTTGTACATTTTCCTTTTGTATAAAAAAGTTGTGTTTCAAATGTTGACCGTGTTTTCTAGGACTATGTTTTTGAGATGTAAAGCACTTTGAGCTGCCTTGTTGCTGAAATGTGACTTTTAAATAAACTGGATTAGTTCTATAATGAAGCATCACCACTCTTTCTACACACACAATGACTAATTTAACTGAATGGACGATAAGCTCATTTTAGCCAAATATTAACCAGACACACACTGGTAGTTTTCATTAAGGTTTCATAATGACAAAAATCTTTTTCCTGATTTTGTTGTTTTGTAATTATACTACTTATTATACATCTTGAAGATACAAAAATTGCTCCATAACTTTATGTTTTTGTCCATCTAATGGTGTGATTTACATGTGGGACTAAATTCACTTCAGTCATTTCTTGGACAAATATTTTCACTTCTACTTCAGTAAAAATTCGTTAGTAAAACTTTGTTAGTAAAATAAAAATGTTAGTTAAATTGGTTTAGTACAATTTCTCTCTACTCTTCCCACATTTGAATGTGTCTGCTTATAGTTGATTATTTTACTGATGCAAAGGAAAAGAAAATGAAGATAAACTCTAACCTGCCCTGCAGCAGACACTGCAGACACCAGCATCACACCCAGCACCAGAGATATTATCTGCATTGCTAAAAACAAAAACAACAAACCCAACAAGAAACATGGAGTGAAAACAGTTATTTCAAAGCACTGAGGTAAATTGCCTGCATGTGTGTGTACATGAGTCCAAACTAAGAGATCCAAACTGAAGCTTTTCTCTGCAGAATGATTCAGCTGGCATGAAGACAAACCTCACTGCATAGAAAGGCACCATGTTGGACTGGAAGCAGGTTGAAAAAAAACTGAGCCGAACAAACAGCAAATGAATTATTTTACCTTTTCAACCTGGGCAGTGCTCTCTGTCTCCTGAAGTCACTTCCTCATACCTTGCAGACTCTGATCAAAGCCGTTGGACTTTGATCAGAAGCCACTTGCTTGCTAACATTGACTCCAGCTACAGAGTTACCACATTACACAGGTTTCAGTCCTTAACACACTTTCACACAGCCTTCATCCTGATACATACTAAGTTATGATCTTAAATTATACACAAAGTTTATGTGGGTTTCTAGAGACAATAATGTCATCAAAAGGAAAAATACAAAAAAGTAAAACAAGATCAAACACGTTGACAAAAACTAAAAAGATCCCTATTAACTATTTATTTGTAGTTCTAACTAAAAGCAAGATGGGTTTTTATTTCTGCTCAATACATTATAAAGATCTATTTATGCTGTATGTTAGTTTACATTTGGAATTTTATCAGCAGGATGGTTTGATCCGGAAGAGTAGAAGTGAAACACACTGCGCGCTTTTCTGTTTGTTTTCAGCAAATAAAAATCTGAAAATGATGGTCCGTATTGGGATTTACTTTATTTTGAGTCTACTTATCAAATTTCTGAAAATAAATAAATAAATAGGTGAGTCTTCAGAGCCGGATGTTGATTTCGCTTCGTACAAAGTCGCAGCCGGAGACACTCTCGCTGCCGTCGGCGTCCGACAGGAAGCCGCTGCCGGTGGTTGCCGTGGTGATGTTGCGCTCCAGGGTCGTGAGTCTCTTTTTCAGCCGGAGCTGGGAGGAGTTGAACTCACTCTGCAGGCGCGCCAAGCACGTCTGGAAAGAATTGGTTTCAGTTATTGACAGGCTTTCAAGAGTTGTTTTAATTAAAATAATAATAATAAAAACACAATGGAAATTTGAAAAAAATTAAATAAAAAAAACTGATAAAGTTTCATAAAAAGCCGCTACGCTGACCTGCAGACGGTCCAGACTGGTTTCCAGCCTCTCCATCTTCTCCTCCAGCTCTTCCCCGGCCAACACGTTTACTTCCTCCAGAAGCCCCTCCTTCTGCAGGATGTCCCGCCCCCTCTGCTCCAGCTGCGCCCTGGCGTGTGGGAACTCCTGCAGAGCCTCCATCAGGTCTTGTTTGGAGAGGCAGAACAGGTCAGAGTAGCCCAGGCTCCTTATGTTCGCGGTGCGCCTGTTCCCCATCTTGCTGCCGCTGATGTTCAGGATGCTGATTTCTCCGAAGCAGCTCCCTGAGGTCAGCACAGCGAACTGGGTGACTCCATCGTCCCCCACCACCGCCAGGTGGCCCTCTTTGATGATGTACATCTCCTTGCCCACATCGCCCTGGGAAAAAGGATACAAAGTAGCGGTATTAGAGTCCCATGTTGTAAAATAACTGGAGTGTTTTACTGTATTCTGTCAACCATTACAGTTCAACAGATACTAGCAATTATTCCGAGATCAACAAACGATAACGTCTTCAGAGGAAGTACGGACCTTTCTGCAGATGTAGTCACCAGGACTGAACACCTGGGGCCGAAGTTTTAACACCAACTCTACGAGGAGACCGGCCTCGCAATCCTGGAAAATACGCACCTGAATCCACGCACACATTCACAGAAACAGGCAATACTTAAGACACTGCAGTTTATGGACAGATAGGGATTCAACATTCAGGTTCTGACGAGAGTTTTTATGAACGTTAAAGAACATTCCAGACCAGTGGACTCAAACTCCAGCCAAAAGCCAGAGTCCTTCAACTTGTAGATGTGTCCCTTGTAGTAAACACTTGAATTAAATAGCAAAACTGCTTCACTAGTACGGAGTCAAATGTTATGGAGCTCTGGTAATGAGTTACCATTGGAGTCAGATCATCTAAAAGTTGAAGGACACCGGCGCTTGACGACTGGAGTTTGAGACTGCTGTTATAGACAGAGCAAAATGAGGCATAGTTACGCAAATTTAAGGCATCGAAGACTTGAATAAACTGATGTCAGAGGAGTTTAGTGGCGTTTACCTTCTTCAGTGTGTCCAGGTGGACATTAATGGCGATCTCTGCTCGTAGTTTGTTTGGCAAGCTCCTCAGCACTTCTTGCTCGTCAATCGTCTTCTGATTGGTCCAGAGGTAGTCAAACCAGCGAATGACGCGTTGCTCCAGGACCTTGCTGACATGCCTGAAGTGCATGTAATGTTTGAGGGCGTCCACGCGAGTTTGAAAGCCCACTCGCGTTGCATTCATGTTGGAGATCATGGATCCAACGTTGCCAACAATGGAGGCAAAAATCAGAACCCCAACCTGTTACAGAAACATCAACAGACTGGTCTTCGGTGGACAAGTTCACTCAATGGACGGCATGTTTGGGGACGACGATCTTACCAGAAAGTCAAATATCAAGAACAGGTACTCCTCGTCTCTAACAGGTGGAGGAGTCTCGCCGATGGTGGTGAGTGTTAGAGTGGACCAGTACAGACAGTATATGTAGCTTCTAGCCAGCGAGCCGAACTCGGGGTCCGAAGCATTGGGATACACCCACGAGTCGGAACCCAGACCCAGGACTTTGGAGAAACTGTAGTACACACAGGCGTTCCAGTGGATGATGACTAGGATGTACAGGACTAACTTGCAGATGCGGAACGTGTTGGGATAACTCGTGCGTGTTTCTGTTCGTTCAAAGAACTCGAAGAGACGCGACAGCCGCAGCAGGCGGTTGAACCGGAGAAGAGGCGTGTAGCTCATCCCGGCTATGAGGTACAGGAGGTCCGTGGGGAGGATGGAGAAGATGTCCAAGGTGCACTGTAGTGTTCGGATGTAGGTTTCTCTCAGACGACGAACATCCTTCACCAACAAGCCTTGATCTAGAAAACCTTGACATATGACAACAAATTTGACAACAATGCCCAGGCTAAGGGATGTGGACCAAAACAAACCATGTAAATGAAAATCTACACCATTGAATAAGGATTTCTATTCTCAGCAGCACTGAGAGACTACTGCTTCTGTCAGATTACTAACTGAGTACCTGTGTGGAGACGAACAGCGATATCCAGGATGTAGACTCCATCACAGATGTAGTCGAGGACTAACCACACCTGAACATTTTTCATCTGGAGCTCATCAAAACAGGCCCTTCAGTGAAACAGGGATAGAGTGAATACACATAACTGACAACAACAAGATCCTCCACAAAAACGCAATAAAAATCAACCCTGAATTAAAAGAACACTCAAACAAACATGCTGCATCACCCTCCTACTACCACTTCCTGTCTTCTTCTTCTTCGTCAGTAGTAACATCCGGTTACAAGAACAAAGTGTTTCCGTTGGAGCTTTGCGCCTTAAAACATTTTCGAAAAAGGCTGAAAAAACTCCTCATCCAAAAACATTGCGCCAGAGAGCAGTGTGTTCTCTAGCGCAGCTATTCTAATATTGATTCCAATATCAGCTCCCTACCTCACGACTAATAGGGTGAAGTTATAAAAAACCGCTGCTCCAATCACTATCAGCCAGTTGTAGTAGGCGTCATCAGACGGGGACAAAACCACAAGCTTCCATTTCCTCCTCCTGACAGAGAGTCAGAAACGCAGAGTGAATCAAATCGGCGTCGGCACATTGAGACGGTGGTTTGGCGTCTTACGTGCGTCGGGAGCGTCGGGCTTCATGCTCCGTCTCAGAGCCGGTGTGGGTGTGGCTGAACCTGCTGGGCGGGGCCTGGAGGTCGGCGTTGGCCGGACCCCGGAAGCGCTCCAGAAAGGAATCGGGCCGCTCCGTCTCCTCGGCCAGACTCTTCTGGGCCCATTCCCTCAGAGTCATCACCATGCTCACTATTCTACACACACAAAGGACAGGAATACTTCTGACGTAGTCCGAACTGTCGACTAATGGAAAATAAATACATGGCGGTACCTACTGAGCACTGCTCATGGATATTCTAGTCAAAGCCTTTGGTCATACCTGGACAGGGCCCCTCGGCCTCGAAAGGAACTCTGGGAATTCCTTTCGATGGCGGCCATTCGCTGCAGCTCTGAAGAAGTGTCATCACATGTGGACTGTCCCCTACTCGTTCAGAAACACAGGACATACTGGAGTAACTCACAGGATGTTGTCTGAGACATGAATGACTGCAGCTCCTCTGTGTAACAACATAAAGCGCAATAATGATCATGCAGTTATAATGATCATAACTGCATTCAGCTCCTGTGAGGCCGCAATGACGTTCCAGAGTTTTTATGGACATTTTGTTTTGTGGTTCAAACATTGACCTGTCTCCATGTCCAACAGCTTCCAGTTGCGTCATTTGTTTTATTTTTGCAGTTCACCTGTCGGCCTCTTGGGGTCCTCAGCTGCTCTTAGGTCCAGCCTCTCTCTGCCTGTTTCTTGTTTCTAATTGGTTAATTAGTTTAACTGTAGACTTTTTCATTGTCATTAGTTGCTGCAGCTTGAAAGTGATTTTTTTCTTCTTTTTTGTACAGTTTTGAGTGAATTGCCACCTAGAGTGAGTTGTGCTTTCAGCAAATGGCCTTTTTTTGAAGTCTGTACGCTCCAGCTAACAATTAATCCATCACCAAATTAGTTAACGATTATTTCAAGAATTGATTTATTACAATCTGATCAATTGTTTCAGCCCTTATACATACAACATAAGTAATATTGGCTGTAGGCCATAAGAGCAACGTTGACATTGGAAATCAATATCAGCCTAAATCATTTCGGGTTCATCACTACTTGTAAATTCAGATTACTTTGATTAATAGTAAAATTATACTTTATGTCATGAAGTGGGGGCAGATGGTGAGGAGAAAAGCGGTGGACCCAGGTTGAAGTGAGGGCAATGATGAAAGTCTCAATAATCCAGACAGCACAGATGAGAAGAGACACCGACTCACATTGAAGACACAGAGTAGACAAGGACTTGACAGAGAACAAGAAACTCAGGGGGTAATCAAGGCAACTAGACATAGCAGGGATCAATGGAGGGGGAAACGGGACGACACAGAGACTGGACTGACACAATCCTAAAAAACACAGAAAAACTTAAATCCTTACACTTTAATACAAGCAGTAGCAGGTGATTTTGGTTTCTTATTTAACCGTAGCACCAAGCCACACTTATTTCAGAAATACATAAAAAGCGCACATCCTTTTAAAAATTCATGTGTGTGTGCGTGTGTGTGTGGGTGTACCTGCTAAGTGTGCTCTCAGCACGATCACTATCCTCCTCCGTCCATGTTTTCACAGACAACCTGTGGGAATCGTGCAGCGGACCCGTCATGCTGCTCACACACAAACACAACGTGGTTCTGCTCTTTTACCTGTGGTGTTAGAACCGTGACACCAAACAGACACTGGGTCATGTATGAACATGTTCAAAACAAGCTTCACAGACACATAAAAAAAAAAAACAATAATTAAAAAAACTCAAAATGCAGGAATCAGCAAAAGAAGGTCATCATGAGGTCACGCTGCTCCAGGCATCGCCACAGAAATGGCTTAGCAACAAGCTGATGGGCAGAAAATGAAGAGAGAGTAACATGATACTAGTTCATTAACCTGATCGATCCTCTGTCCTCCAGATGTTTGCGGCGTCAGGTCTCCAAATCAATCCTCATGTTCAGTTGATCTGTTTCTACCTGGTTCTGCGTGTGCAGCTGTTTTCAAGCCTCTCATTACAGTCGGCATAATGGACACAAATACACAGAGCACGGCTGAAATGGATGAAGCGGGCAAATGTAACCAATAAAAGGGATGATCACATGGTGCACTTGAAAAAGCATCATTTAAATTGTAAATTGTACGTGTGTGTGTGTTCCTTTTAAACCACCAAGCTCATCTGAATTCAAGCACCCTGTTTGAAGTGGCCTCTGCGATCATGTCTTCGTGTTATCTCCAGGTTACTGAAGCTGAGAAATGTCTTGATGCCCACGTCTGAATATTTCTGTCAGGAAACATCATTTATGCTCCATGTGGAGGAGAAACATTTTTCTACCTTTAATCCTTTCGTGCATGAATTATAATCCTTTGTGTCAGAATTTTTCCCCCCAATTTTTTAAGGCATAAAAAAGATAGGAAAACAATTTTATAAAAAAAAAAAAAATGTTTTTTTCCAAACATTTTTTAGGTGATCAGCTGTAATTTTTTCTAAATAAAAGTTGTTATTTGGAAAATACATCAGTAGAACTGTTGTTTAGGGTTTTTTTGATATCACAATTTTTTTTTTTTACCTATTAGTTGTCTACAGCAGAAGGACGGACGGGGTTGGTTGGCATGCTTTTTTTTGTCTGTCGGCCATATTGGATTTAACAAAAATAATTTCTTGCATTTGCAGCTGATGCCCTGTAGTTGACAGTGTATTTTATGATGCATTTATAACATAAAAATTCACAAGAAAACGACTTTTAGACAGCTGTCCACTTTGGTGACCCCTTTGCATGAAAGGGTCCATTGGACCGTTAAAAAGGTAACACACTGCAGATCATGTTTAGTTGTAAATAATAGAAGTATAGACCAAAAGGAAGGAAGTGGTGATTGGAAACGACACACATCCTGCTTTCTAGAGCAGAACAACGTTATTGAAAAGGTTATTTTGAATATTTTGCCTGGAAATCAGATAATCCTGGCTCTTTAATACAGGTGTAAGACTACTCAATTCATTTAATTTGTTAGGCGTCAGTTCATAACACGTCATCTCAAAGTACTTTATTACAAAAGTTATTTCAATCCAATTGTGCAGACGTCCCACTCGATCATGGTTATCAAATTTATTCAAATTGGCTGAAAAAGTTACTAAGTAAACCCATCAGAATTCATCAGGATGTATGGATCATCAGTTTAGCAGTGGAAGTTTGTCTCATGCTATCTGTTGATAAGCTGAACATCAAACTGCATGTTCTGAACAAAAACCAATTCAACATGGCTGAAACTGATGCTGGACGCACAGAAACCTGTCAAATACTTACAGTGAATAGAGAAAAAATGTGACACCTGTGCCTGAGAAATACAGGGAGTTGTGGTCATTTTTCAAATAAACAACAGATTTACTACCAACTGAGCATATGACATATTTACATATTCTAGTAGGTCATTCATCCACAATGACGCCAAGAAGACTGCAAAGACAAATGAAAAAAGGTATTTATTTGAGACAAGAGATCTGATTGTACAGTCATTCTCAGTAGAGTGTATTTGAAAGAAATTTAGATTACAATGAAATGATTGTAAGGCAGGAAACAGTAGTGAATATTAGTTTAGATTGGAAAAGCTAGAGCAGCAGTAGAATGTATGAAGACGCAGCAACATGATGAGTTTCACCATTTGTTGGTAATTTGGTTGTGAATCATTTTCCCTTGTTGACATTTCAGCTATGGTGTTTATAAGGGTGAGAATACAAACACAGATTTAAAATGAACAATAAATTCTGCTTAGACTGACCTGCAGCTTTTATTTATGAACTGTATTGGTAATATTCTATGAAAACAGTATCAATCAGCATGAAATAATCTTTTGCTATAAGTACAACACTTTTCACTTATCAACAAGATTTTTCTTTTTATTCAGAAGTCAACAGAAAATACCCAAACATAATTTTTTTTTTAATGTGACTGTCCTGTCTTTTCAAATACACAATAAAGTAACTTTTGGATGGATTTGGTTGGATAGTTTCAGTCGTCATGCAAAATCGCTGCATCCAGCTCTTATGCCAATAAAATCAGGTTTACTAATAAATGGCTTCCAGCTTACAGACCATCTTTGGCATAACAAAGATGGTCTGCAAATTTCACAATATAAGGCATTCCGTGAAGATCGATATGGCTTAATTGTGATAAATGCTTATCCTGTGAACAGGCTGGCACACGGCAGAACTGTGAAAGCGGTGACACATGAGGATATCATAGAAAAAAAAACAGAGAAAGTAAAGATAAGGGGAGTGAGGAGAAAAAACCCATCACACAACCGGAAACTGAAAAAAGAATCACCCCGATGTTCCCCATGTGTCACAACTTTCAAATTTAAAGACCCTATTTCTACTTTTCTCTACAGGAGAGCGAGTGGTCTCTGAGATGAACAATCAATTTTAAACCTAAATGCTAACGTCAGGAAGAATGATATTTGAACCTTTGACGTTTTAGATTTAGCCTCCTGTTTCTGTTTAAAGACACAAAGTCAGAACAAACTTCTACACCATGTTCACTGCCTTTATGTTTCAGCAGGTGAAGACAGTCCCTGTGAGTGTGTACATGCTGCTCTTTAAACCTTCTTCATGCCCCGCCCCATCAGGCAGGCAAAGATGGTCATCACCATTTTAGGGTTGACTTCTACCAAGTCCTCAGGCAGGGCGTAGACTTTAGCGCCGATCTTCCTCGCCATGGAGACGGCATACCTGGGGCAAGAAAGGTTTAAACAAAGGATTACTATGGTAATATCTTGCCAATTAAAAGTAAAATTTTACTAAGTAAAATTAAAATTTGTTCAAAGCTTTTTAGCCCCGCTGCATGTTCAGGTTTTTTTAGAGATGATTACTTGGCATTGTCCAGTTTATCTTCATCTGAGAAATCCTCTCTTTTCACCAGGTCAAAGTTCACGCTCTGTGGCTGAATGGCATCAATCAGGTCCAGCACTGGAAGGCTGGTGCTAATGGCTTTGTCCTAAACAGACAGGCAGACACAGAAAATTAGCAAAACTTCTCATATTAGCTTGAGGCCGTCCTAATACATGAACATCCAGCTGCTTATTTACTACTGTTGACACTACCGCTAATCCACTGCTGTGCTAATAACGGAGCTAATTTTTTTGCTTAGCGATTAAGTGATTTTGCTAACTTTGAAAGTATTTAGCGCACTTAGCTTCCTCTAAATTAGTTTTTCTGTTTTTATTTTAACTTCTAAAGCATTAATTTACTCGCATGACTTGCAAACATTCAGTTGAATAAAGTTTGACATCTATGTTGAAGCTTTGGTTATCCACTGCTACGAATACTTCAGGTTATACTTCTTATTTTGAAGTGGGCAAAGACAGTTCTGTTTCCTCTCCTCACTATGTCTTTTCTTTTAAGAAACTTTATTGAGCAAATGGCAAGTGACAAATACAGGAAGTATACAAAAGAAAACACTGAAATGAACAGAGGTGCTAATTAACAAATAAATGGCAAAATTCATTATGTGAATTGTTTTGAAAGCCCCCTTACATTCTGTCAACATGGTTGGTTTTAGCGCTTTAGCATTAGCTTCTACTAAATACCATGTTGATGTAGCACATTAGCATTAGCTTCTATTAAATGCTATGTTTGTGTATCACTTTAGCATCAGATTGTACTAAATATCATGTTGGTGTACCATTTTGGCATGAGCTTCTACTAAGTCCTGTGTGGGGGTAGCGCTTTAGCACTGGCAGAACTAGTGTTGTGACTCATGCTTCAGGGTTAGCATGGCTAACGTTTTAGTTAGTGGTGCCTGCCACTTGTTGAATCCCTCTAAAAATTTTGACAAACTTTTGGGATATCCTATCGCTGCCCAAGAATCTTTGAACCAAACCTTTGAGGAAATTAGACACAGGTCGAGTCTAATGTAATAATTATACAACTTCTAAAGAATGACACAAGTGTTCCCTGGTTGGTGTTTTTTTTTTCTTGATTCCACTTCAAACTGATGTCCTATTTAGGTTTAATCTCTCACATGAAATCCCAATAAATCACTGGACTGTTTGGGTTTGTGCCTCTTACCTTAAAGCTTTTGATGAAGGAACTCTTGCCACCTTCCTTCAGAGCCTTATTGACCCACGAGATGATCAAATCGTCTCCAGCAACTTCTCCATGTCCGAGGTCCTCCAGCACGTTTAAAGTGTACCTGCACCATGTCGGTCATTATTATTAGTCTTCAGTATAACCAATATTACAATGTTTTAAAAAGTAAAAATGACACATATTCAAAGTGAATCTCAAATTTCCCATAAAGTTCATATGTTGTCAGAGTTGAGGAAGCCTCTGAAAATGCTAATTACTCAGACTGAAGGCTGGACAAGCAGCAACCCCTCCCTCTCCATAACTGCATAACAACCCAGCATCCTCAGCATATGCTGACTCTGTGAGCCAGAAAGTGAAAAGTCAAACAACCTCCTCATCAGCTGCCACACCAAGGCCAGGGTGAGAGTCTCGTTCCCCTCATTCAGGTCCTGACCTCCGATTCCCACCAGAGAAAAGCCGGCTTTGGTCTTCCCCAACTCCACGGCGTAGTTACAGTTTTCAATCTGTTGAAGAGAAAGATGCAAACACATTGAGATCTACGCCAATTCACAGTCTCAAGTCTTTCCGGGTCTCCAAACTGACCTTCTTTAAGTGGCCTCCTCCTACTCCCTTGTAGGGAGGAAGGTTGACTCTGTGGTCCCAGTCCACCTTCACTTTAATCTTTTCATACAGCTGCAGAATCACTATGGCGTCCTGCAGATCTCTGCATGCAAACACAAACACGTTGATGAGCCAGTGAACAGAAGAACGTCCCCGTGGCAGAAATAGAACCACTGACCCATAGATGTAGTGAACGTGTGGACTGACTCCCAGCGAGTTCATCCAGTTCCTGAAGGTTCTCTCCTCTCTTGTCTCACCTAAAACAAAGTCAAGGAGGATGATGAAGCCCACACAAATCTGGACACAAGTGAGAAAAATAAAGTTTCAAGAAAGTCGTATCTGTGCTTTACTCTCAAGATTCCACTCCTGGTTTTCGGGTTTGGTGAGCGCCGGGTGCTTGTTGAAGAGCGTGGCCACGAAGGCCAGATTGAGTTTGGCGTTTCCTGTCACGATGTCGGTGGCGGTCACAAACTGACGGCATCCCAGCCGGTCGGCCTGTTTCAGCAGACACTCGGCTCTCTTTTTCAGGTCTTTCTCCTGGAGACGCAAGCACAATGTCAGGTTTGAGAGCAAGAAACGTCTCACAAATACCACAAAAGAACATCAATAACCCTGAATGAATGACCACTACACAGATTAAGAACTTTTGAAAATAAAAAGACATTTCCATTGTTTTGGGTTCATTTATTGTGACAGTTATGACAATTTATTAAGATTGACACAAGAAAAAAACAATACTTGTTGTAGTGCAATCATATGTATTATCATTTCAGTCAGAAATTTTGGCCTTTTATTGGTACATTTAATCCATTTCTTTTGGGATGGACTGACAATAGATGTAGCTTAGAGAGCTAGCATACCTAGGAGCAATGCTTCTTGATACGCTATTGGGTGTCTTTGGTATCGCAGTCAATTTAGAAGGCCCATTTTATTTCCTTTGCACTGAGTGGGTGTATCCTAACACTGAAAATAAGCAAGTCTGTGAATGTTAGCTCCTGTGGTAGTGCTAGGACAGTTTTCATTGTGCGAAATGATGCATATTAGGGTCTACTTGGTGTTTGAATTATTAAAATAGACAGTTCTCAATGTTTCCAGAAAGAGGCTAAAGTATTTTGGTATTTTAGCTAATCGCAGTTTGTTTGGCTGAATACCTAACCGTCCTATTCAGGTAATAGGGCGGTTAGCTATTGGCTGAAAAGAGCCAAAAGACCACAGTTGTGATATTATATCTGTTCAAGTTTCATGCAAGTGAAAATTCACAGTTTCTAAATTTTCAACGCTAGCAAGCTAACAAACTAAAATAAATTCTAATATTTCTGTTGAAAAAAGAAGCAAGAATTATGCCAGAAGTTTGTTGATGGCCACAAAAAGTATATATGTTTCTTTCAAACAAGCCAATCAACATTTTTTCTGATCTTATTGGGTGTGTATTACATTCTTTATCTATGACAAATAACTTAAGAAAGATGACTGTAATGAACTTTTAAGTTGCTTTTGGATCTGACTGCAAAGTTGGGAAAAAAGAAATAAATTCAGCAAAATGCTGCGTATGGATTGATTTGAAATGACAAAAACTCTGCCTTCTTCCTGCCCTCATGGAATTAAGTTTGAAATCCCCCCATTTGAATTTTGTTTTTCCAAATTGTTTCCCAAGTCTCCTGTGGGAAGAAAATACTAAAATTCCACTCAGAAAAACAGAGTCAGCCTATAACATGTAGTCCAGTCGGAATGATATCCAGAGCTTAAAATAACCACAGGAAGCAGAAAGAAGATAAACAGCTTCCATTCGGCCTGAACGGCCACGTCAATAAACATCCTTAACTGGGTTTAGTCTGAACCGCAAATAGATTCAAGATTGACTCCGGTGTCGTCACCACCATTTTCTGTTGTGTTCACCAGTTTAGGGTGATTGATGTTGTAATCTCACTAAAGTAAAGGAACAGGGTGTCTGTAGACCTCACCAACACAAATGTAAGACTTTTAAAAGACATTTAAGACCACTATGAATGGAATTTAAGACCTGTAACATAAAAGAAATGTACAAAAAATAAATCGCAGGGGTTGGCAACAGAAGTGAGCCAATGGCAAGACAAATGTCATTCAAATGTCTTTCAGATAACTGTCAATAAATCTTACCCATGATGGCTGAAGAATAAAAGCTAGCTAGCTTTACTCTTGCTGGCTAGCTACCTTGAGATATTAGTTAGCGAGCAAGTGTATTAGCAGCTAGTTACCACAGCTGTGGCTGCTACTGCCTCCAGCCACAGAATGCCACAGTTTAGATCTCTGAGTCTAAACTTTCATATTACAGTACACTCCAGCAAATTAAAAAAAAAACTACAGAATATACAAGATTAAATAGCCAGACCACAACAAAATTTGAGACCATTGTGAACGTATTTAAGGCCAACTTATCTTTTTCACAAATTGAAAACATTTTAAGAATGTGCGGACGCCCCGAGGAAAATGAGAGCAGACTCACATAGAGACCAGTCATGTCAATCTCAATCCGAGGAACGTCCTCTTTGCTGCCATCTGGAGCGATCTGCTGCAGCAGGTGATAATACACCCGGGAGTCCTGCAAAGAAAACACAAAGAGTTTCACATTGTTAATATGGGAATGACCTGTGGAGACTGGAATCCAGCAGCCATTGGGTGAGAGACGGGGTGAACCCAGGACAGGTCACCAGTCCATAGAACAGACAACCTACTCATACCTAGGGACAATTTGGAGATCTATTAACCAAAGCAACTGTAGCTGCATTTCCAGAGGCCAAAAAAATTGTACAAATTGGAATTACGAAAATAAATCGGCTTCATGGAAACTTGTGTTTTTTTCGATATTGGCAGAATATCAACAACGTTTCCTCACACATTTGTGATGTAAACACAGGTAGTTCTACCAATTGCAGCTAAAACAGACTCTATTTTAAGAAGACTAACACAGAAAGTAGAAAATGGGTGCAAAACTTTTACAAACTCCTTTACCAAACCAACATGAGTGTCGATACATAAAATAAGCACAGCCCCCACTGTGACGTCTCCTCACCTTAATGTCTCCAGAAAAGTTTGATATGGTCATCCCCGAATTCTTTAAGTGGAAATTGACCCAGCGCAGCAGCAGTTCTTCAGGACTGAGCTTCATCAGCTCCTCCAGACTCTCCCCATCCTGCAGCAGCGCTGCCAGGGCTGTGAATGCAAAGATGTTCAGACCGGAACAAGACGTAGAAATTAAACTTTGTATCAAGTGAGTCCAGTGGAGTAGGTGCAGTTGAGTGTACTGCACCTTCGTTGCGGCTCAGTTTTATATCGGCAAACAGTCCTATCTTGATGATCTGCCAGAGGAGGCCGAGCACCAGGTGAGGCTTGCCCTCCTTTAGGTCCTGAGCGCCGATGTTGACCACTTGGCAGCCGATGGCTGAAGCTGAGTTCAGAGCCAAGTTCAGGTTCTCCTGTTGGTCCAAAGTCAGATGGAACTTACTGCGTTACTCAACCACATTTGGGTGAATATGCATCCATATGAGTCTTACCTGTGTGGTGAAAGCTGTGAGTTTCTTTTTGTTGATAGTCCTCTCATCGATGGTGTCAGGAACAGACAAGTTGATGAGTTTACTGTCGCAAAAAATGAGAGGAAATGACACCAGGGTTTAGAATATGAAAACGAAGGTTCAATAAGGGGGAAAAGGAAGTGATGGATAAGGTTTACCAAAGCAAAATGCCGTCTGCCACAGCTTTAAACAGATGTCCGGTGTTAGGGTCAATGGGCAGGGCATGCTTACAGTCCGGGTCCTTCTCCAAAGATGAGTTGATGTAGTTGGCGAAGGCGAAGCGCTCCTGCTCTGAAATGAAGGTCAACTGCAACATCACTTCACCTGAAGTACTGTAAAACCCAACAAGCTACAGGCTCAGACTGTTTCAAGCAGCTACTAACCAGAGATGGAGTGTGTAGTTCCCTCACTGGAGAGCTCACTGGTGCCTTTGATGGCTACGACACCTTCTTTCTTGCTGAGAGCCTTCCTGAAACCCTGAGCCATTTTGTCGTCCTTCATCTCCTGGAAGATCTGAAAGGTTTAGGGGAAAGTTGGGTCCAGCAAGTTAGAGTGGGGGCAGAAACGTACATCAGCAAAGCAATCCATCAGTAAGTGTGACAAAATACCAGGTATAACACAGCACTTTCCAGTTCTAATCACAATACCTATTTATATCTTCAAAGTTTGACCCCCATTAGTTGTTTTCTGGCCTGGTAAAAACCCTGTGCTTTGTTCTACGTTTTTCTTCGTACAGAGTGTCTGGACCTGTAGCTACTGAGAAAGGATTACTTACTGGAGGCAAGAGACAATTGGCTCTTACCCAGGGACTAACGTTTGGCTGTAATGTCTGTAACGCATAAGCTTATCAGAAACCGGGTGCACTGTAAACAACCGTGTAGTAAGTAACATCACAACAGTTTCCTCTTGCTCTGACTTTAATTACTCCATATTTGGGAGCGTGGTCAATGACTTCCTCTGCTGCCATTGTTGAAACTACAACCTCACTATACTATAACTATAAAATGTTGCATAAAATAAGTCATGTTTCCTTCTGCTCACTGATGGACCCAGTTGAAATTCTACCAGAGAAATTGAGTTGAATGACAGAAGATGGAGACAGTGCAAGAGAGATGAGAATCAAGCAGAATTGCGTAGGAGGGCAATAGTGAGGATATTTGTATACGTCTCTTAAAAAACCAAAACAAAGTGGCATGTAACAAGACCTGGATAAAAACCTATCGAAGATGATGATACAGTTCACGTTATATTTAAGAAGCATAAAAGGAAAGAAGGTGCATGACATTTTATTATTTTTTCAGAATCTTTCTCCCTGGGAAAAACCCCCCACAAAGGGTTATCTCACATTTGCCAAAAATAAAAACAACTTCATTCCCAACTAAAATAGTCAGTGGTCTAACAATACAAATTTGAAACTTTTTGGAAGTTGGTGTCCCGTTACACCTAGCTTAGGACATATCCGGCGTTTCAGAAAGAGATCATGCCAAAGCTCAAACATGGCGGTGGTAGCATGATGGTTTGGGCTAGCTTTGCTTATAATAAATATTTCAATACAGGTACTCATGGTAACGAAATAGAATACGAATGATAAGAAGATAAGTGTAGATAAGCTGCCATTTAGTACTTATTAACTTCATCCATGACAAATTTGACAATAAATTAAATATGGCAACAAAAAAGAAAAACTGGTGAATTTTTAGCTCATTATCATTCAAATGTAAAGTAAACACCACCACCAAGTTGAGTTAGTTAGTTAGTTAGTTAGTTAGTTAGTTAGTTAGTTAGTTAGTTAGTTAGTTAGTTAGTTAGTTAGTTAGTTAGTTAGTTAGTTAGCGTTACCTACAGCCGTGAACTCCTCAAAGTTGATTTGGCTGTCTTTGTCCCGGTCCAGTCGCTGGAGCAGCTCCCGGATCTGGTATCCAGGCAACGGACATCCCACCTCCCGGAACAGGTCGCCCAGTTCTGAGGCGCAGATGAAGCCGCTGTTGTCCACATCTAGACAGGGTTGGGGTTAGGGGAGGAAACGGAGGTTTAATGCAGCTGCTCTCTGTTTCTCATGCTGCTGCAACCTTCCAGATAAAATGGCGGCAGTCAGTCGATGTGTTTGTCAAAAGATGAGAACTCAAAGTTGTCAGCATCGAATGGTAGATTACGACTTCATACAAACCCAAAGGATAAATTCTTGTAGCCAATAGCCATTATTATCTTATATTTATCTTGCTAGCATTCATAGAGCCATAAACACATAAATGTTTTTAAAAATGTTCCCATTTACACTAGGCTTCTTCAGATGTCATTTACAATGTGCAGCTTTTATCACTAAGCTGGACAGGAACAACATTTATCATATTTTTAAATTTACTGATATTAATTAATGCTTCTGTGGAGCAAACAGTGGAGAATGTAGCAAAGTCAGCATATTGTCAGTTTTGTTTCGATTTTTTAACTTGACATCAATAACTGAAATGCATCATGACAATAAATTCTAACCATGAGAAAAAATATCCATTAGATATTAATGGTTTGCAGCTACAAACTAATGTTTTGTATTAGATAAAGAATACAATAAATGTCCTTGCATCTCCAGGTTCTGAGAGGGAACTCACCGACTTTCTGGAAGCTCTGCCTGATCTCCTCCAGCTCGTCGGCGCTCACCTTCCCAGACATGTTGACCTGAGGGAGAGACAGATGTTCATGAAGCTGACCGCCGCACTCTGACTTCTCTTCCTGTTAGTGGATCGCTTCCTGGCGGCGCAAATTCATCTGTGACAAAGCCAGATGGAATTGACTCTCTGATATTCTACTGTTTTAATACAGCCTTTATCAGAAGCTACAGAAATGGATTATTATAGCTCATACTAGGGTTTATCGATCATTTTTACTCTATTGGATTACTCATTAGCTCCATCTGATCTCATCGATATTTGATCATTGTAGACTGAGTTGCTTTGATGCATCCTTTACTGCAAGATGTTCACTCTTAATAACCTAAGAGCTATCTGAATGAAATGAAAGCTTAGATTATGTCCCAGAAAGTATTACCCAGAAAGTATGCCCAGTTCCAGAAACAGCAGGGTAGTGAGATGGCCCCGTCCTGAATTTGATTTAGTTGGGGTTTGATTTGAGAGCCGTTAGCTGCAGAGAGCAGAGCAGCAACTGTGATAGAGACAAAGAGCAGACAGACTGAGATTTCCCTGATAACAAACACTGCCTGTTCGCAAAAGAAGATATCTCACAGTCACAGCTTGTCACTGTTCAAAATAAGAAATGTCACTATAAATGTAGTATCATAATAAGATATAGGCGCTTGTTTTACATCAGTAATTCCTTAATATTGATGAAAAAGTACTAGTTATGAGTGAAATAATCATCCAGTGGAACAAGTACTTTTTCATCAATGTTAAGGAATTAGTGCCTTAAGATAAGCTCTTAGATCTTATAAGCTTTATCTTATGTCAAGGATGCTAAGAAACCAAGCCAAAAGTAGTTGGTAAGATTTTGTGTGTTAACAAACATTTTTATACAACCTTAAATCATTGCAAATTAGCTGAAAGGTCACCATTGGATGATCAAATTCAGCTCAGTTGAACACTATCCATGAACTTTGTTTCTCTTTCTCTGCCTGTTAATTGTAGATTTCTTTGATCGGAATCATAAAATGATATGATCTGTCAGCAATGGACTGTTATGAAACACTTGTTGGGGACAGCAACATTTTCTATCCAATCTAACCTTGTTCTTTATAAATACCAACATGACACATAACCATAACATTCAAACATAGAAAATTGTTTAAAAACACATTCCCAGTCATGCAATAAGAGACTAGTAAAATCAGCAGACGCTAATGTCAACATCTCACGCGGTGTCAAATTCGTGACGCCAAGTGAAACTCTCTAATTCTACTAGAAAACATTCGGAGGTCAACATGGAGAAGGAGTGAAATGACCAACACTCTTCAATAATATCTGTGGGCGGGTCACATTTACGATGTCCAATCATCACCATCTGACCTCCTTTATCTTCAACTTTAACCTCATATTGAGCCAAACTCGCCCCAAGGTGTTTTCTGTACCACTGGCATTGAAGTTAGATGAACTTACAATGTTCTATTTCTTTATCCAATGTGTATAGTGAGCAGATACAAAGACGACCAATTTCTCTTGTCACTCATCTTGTTGTTGTTCTGTACACAAATGATGGGTTTATCGTGTGTTTCATGATTCCATTAAATTTTAATTCCAATATTTTTATTTTAGTATAAAAATTGGTTACTATATGAACTGTCGGTCTGAGTGTATTTTGAACGTGTGCTGGCTTTGTAGCCCAAAGCTTCACCATCAATCTCAAAGGAGACCCACCTAACATGGCCCCGCCCCTAAACCAGCTGCTCTTGTTGGAGAAAAGGGAGCTATGTTGTGACGTCTCTTTGCTGATTTAGTCCAAAGCATGTCAACTGCATTTAACCTGTCCACGTCTAAATCTGCAAGATCCTCCTTTGCATGTTTAAATGAAGCCCCTGCCCGACAAACAAACGAGAGATTTCAGTTTGATGGGAAGCATGCAAACCTGCTGGTTGAATAGTCAAAAAGGGGCTCGTTATAAAGGACGCTCGTGCCAGTGGTGAAAGGCATGGGAACATTTCTCAAACCACCTGTGACAAATGCATCATGGGACTGTGAAACCTGGGGTTTGTGTAGCACAGTTATGCTGTTTCCCAGACTATTTGAATAATGGGAACCAGAGAATTTTTACCACCACAAATGCCATATAGACAGCAGTGAGTATGTCACTTCTGGCTGCTACAAACTACTGCCTTAGCAAGCCAAAATGAGCAGCAGAATAAACAGCAGTGTTTTGGTCAAGACCACCTAACCTGAGACCATGACCAGTCTCGAGTAAACGGAATAAACAGAGCCAATCAAAGGAAAAACCGAACGGCTTGATCATTACTAGAAGAAGAAAAAATAAATACTGAGTGTTCTTTGATAGAGTATGAAGTGATGAGGAAATGACAAAATCCTCTCATTTAATCATCAGAGCATACTTCCTTTGATTTTAATTGAGACAATAAAAGCACATCAGACTGAATTGCTGCTGCATTTACAGACAAAAAACATGATGAGGAAGCGCTTGATTTAATTAAATCTTTAAATAAAGAATGATGCAAAGTAAGACATGAAAAAGAAAGGTGGCAGGAACAAATATGTTTACACTTCTGCCAACCTTCTTTTCAAACAAATAGCTAAATAAATATATATTTTGGTGCTTGAATTGTTAATGTGAATATGTATGAATGAGAAAATCTGCTTCTTTCAAATCCTCTCTGATGGACTTGTTCATCTCTGGTATTAAATTTATTATTATTATTATTATTATTATTATTATTGAGTTCATGAAATGTTATTTCATGGGTGCACTCTGAAAAGATGTGCATTCTACTGCCACAAGATGTCCCTGTTTATAGGAGGTATTGTCTTTCACTTCACTGACATCAGTGACAACAGTAAGAGATTCATTTATCTGACTGAGTCTGACCTGCTGGTCCACCAATAACAAAAGGTCACCACTGAGCTTACCCAGGGCAACGTGGTCACCAGGACAGTTAAAAACACAGAGTCAGCCTCGATGCTGCTGGCACATTAAGATCCATTCATCCATCCATCCATCCATCCATCCATCCATCCATCCATCCATCCATCCATCCATCCAGAATCATCATCAGCAGCAGCAATGCTCATGACTTTGATTATGGGACATGGCTGCTGCTGGTACCAGAATGACAGAAAGAGAGAGAGAAAGAAAAGAAAACGCTTCCATATCACATAAAACCATAACATTGTCATTTTGGCTGGGTGTTTTTAAGATGATAAAAAAAAAGACGTAATAGTCTTTTTTTTAATCATTCTAAACTCTATTTGTGACGTTGTTAAAATGTTCCATCATGCAGTTTTAAAAAGATGTGTCGCAGCAGTAAATGCTGTGGGCTGTAACATTACCTGAGGTCCGCTGGAGCAGCTCGCTGGAAGCAGCCGGAGGACTGGAACCCTCTGTCGGCCTGCCTCTGCCGCGCTGTCCCGTTTTTCTCGGCTGACACCGCCCGGTGAGCGGAGCCGCTCCGCCCCTTCTCCTCCGGGCTCATCCCGCCTCCACAGCCAGAGGAATCAATAAATTACCGTTTCAAGGAGAAAGCTAGTTTTCCCCGGAGTGTATGTTGGTTTTTTTTTTCTTTATTTATTTTAAATTTGTTGGTAAAATAAAATTATACATCACGTATTTGATTTAAAATGCCATTTTATTTTCTGAGGTATATTTCAGAAAGCTATATTTTTTGTCATGTGTTGTATTATGACCAAACACCCCACATTTTTACAGTCTAACCGAGAACAGGTGGTAATATTCACTATCATATTACTATCATATTAGCATTAGCATATTTAGCTCGCGGCTAAATATGCCAATGCTAACGTTCGGGCCGCTGTTCGACAAATATTCTGAGAAGATATTCAGCTTTTTCCAATTTCTAACATTCAAAATGATTCATTCAGTGACCTGTACAAGTCATTACATCGGAATAGTTCGACTTTTTGTCCCACAGACCGAAACACTTTTGCATTTTATTGGGTTTTTATGTGGCAGAACGACTCAGTTGTTAAAGTTAAGCAGGGCTGGCCGCAGGGTGTTTGGGGCCTTAGGCAGAATTTTGCTAAGGGACCCCTTTTCAGTTAAAAATACCACCACTAACATTCAAATTTAATTGGCTAAGACAAAAACAATCACTGATAATTATTATTTTCCGAAATGTCTGACAAAGAGGTCAAACACAAAGTAAACACAGCAAACGGACAATCAAGGTTGTTTGTATTTTTATAAAGTAAACCTGCCAATTCCTAAATATCAACTTTAAATCATTAATAATTTAAAATATTCAAATTTGTTGAAATCAAATATATTTGCATTCTCAATATGTGCCTTGTAAATGTATGGTCTGTGTTAACAGGACTGTGGAGGATACAAGGCTGGACAAGCATGCCAAATGTGAATGCATGATACATATTTTTCTGATTTTAATTTGTGACGAAATGAAATCCACGGAACACTAATCTTCCCTTTCACAATATCCACTGCTGTGCGTGCCTCCATCATTTAAAACCCCAGTAAGATTAAAAAAACAAAAATCTGAACTGTGAAAATGTAATTTTACATATCTTAGAGCTACTCGTTTAATGTTTTTCTGAGAATCACTTTTAGCCCTTGTTATTTTCTCTTTGAACAATGTTCGGTTCAGGATCTTTATTCCCCCTGAGAGCTCGCCTCCCCCATTCCAGGATTATTGCCACATCCTATGAGAATCAGAAGATAAGTAAGGGCTTCTCGTTATACACTAACCCACTCACAGTTAGTCACGCAAGACACTGCGTTGACCAGCTGCTGCACCCTAATGTAGGCATCAACTAAAACCTTCTTATTAGTAGATGTACCTTGCATTTCCTTGCAGAAATGCAGACATGTTGATGTTGTAATTGTTTGGCATTCCTCAGAGGAAGCATGCTGTAGCAGTAAGTGTCATTTTGGATGCAAACTGTTAGCGCTTCTAGCCCGTACATGCAGGAATTCCTCCTCTCTCTCCTCCATTCGTTCTCCCCGTCCTCCTATAATCTCTCACCCCGTCTTCCTGTAGCGATGTGCTGAATCTTGTCAGAGTGAATACCACAAATATGACCAAGAGAGAGCATTTCTTTAGGGGGCATTTCTAGAACTTGTCTTTCTGAGAAGCAAACATATGAGAGCCACATTGTGTTCGGCAGATAAACCGCCATGTGAGATTTTGTCACGCGACCACCGCAACGAATTCAGTTGCCGTCACATGGAACTATGTGAAAATCAGATGAGTGTGTCACAGGGAAACCTTTCCCACAGCATGATGCCACCACCACCGATAGATTGGAATGGAAATGAGGAAAATTGAAAGGGTGTGTGAATACTTTTGCAACATTGTTTTGTTAAAGGAGCAATATTATGTAAAATCCATTGTTTTGGGATTATAACATCGAAAACATACCTAGAGTGTTCCCTTCATATTTGAGAAACCTTTTAATCTAACCCATTCAGCTCCTTCAGATTAGCTACCAGCAATTAGCAAACACATGGTGGAACTGCACATCTGCTGAACTCATCATAGGAGCTTTTAAGTCATACTTTATATGTGTAGCATTGTCATCACAACTGAAGGAAACAGTTAAGTGGCGCTACGGGGCTGAAACTGTGATTTTCCACACAAGGAAACTGGGAACCAACAGAGACCTACAGTCCATTCCCTACATTCAGGAATATCCTTCATACAGATGGATAAATATGTAAAAATTTGAGACAGATAATAATATCTGACTTATTAAGACACGTTTGATTTTTCAAACAAACTGCAATCCTCCCCTGCATTGCTAATAAACTAACGAGAAACACATATCCACTAAATCAGTCCCATTTCTCCACTGTGGTTTCTTTTTCTATTTCAGCCAGTCTGATGCAGACGCGCCGCTGTGCTTTCAGATCAGGTTGCATGACCCAGTTGGGACTTGAGCTGTCGGACAGAAGGGCCCGAGTCTGACTCTAGAATACTTCGGGATAAAGAGTTGACTTGGTGACTGCAAGGCGCCAAAGTCCTGTGATCGCAACTTTGGTATGAGACCAGCGTGAAGCGACGGCATAGTAGGACCACGGTAGATAGGTGGGGAAAAAGGAGTACATTTCTGCCAAAAACATTCTGAGGACATTCTGAAATTAATCTCAGCAATGTTCTAGAAAAAACCCAGACATTTCTGAACTCCAGAAGTTGAAAATTTGCGAGAAAAAAAATGTGAAATTTTGAGATGAAATTCTGAATTTTATAAAAAAAAAAAAAAAACATGGACATTTTGTAAGTCTATTTATTTATTTATTATTTTTGTACAATGTCTTTTTAATAATATAATTTTTATTCTCAAAATACAACTTTATTCTCATACTATTTGAACTTTCCTCGTACGACTTTATTTTCAGAATTGTATCTGTTCTTAGCATGGACCCAACACTCCGTCATAACTTATTATACATATATATAAAAGTTTGTTGGTTCAAATGATTAAGGGCCACTGTTGAAGGTCCAAAGAGCCACTCGTGGCTCCGCAGCTGCAGGTCGCAGTCCCCTGATCTAGAAACACAGCTGCAGAAAAACCTTGGGATTTTTTCCCTGTCCTGCCTGATGACAGGCAGCTTGTGTGCTAACGTTGGTGACAGCAGAGCCAAGCAAACTGCAGGTCAATTCACCATTGTTCACCAGTGTGAGAGAGGGAGTGAATGGAAAACAGACGGCCGTGTGGGACGAGCAGCTCACGCATAAACAAATGTGCAGAAACTGGTGCCGTATACCTCGAGCCCGTCCTCGGTCTCTTTAAATGCTGAAACATTTGAATACAGAAAGCAGACATATTTATGTCTGCTTTCACAAAGATTAGTCACGTATTAAACTACTGTCTACTGACACCAAACCTCCTTGCACTGTCTGACTTTCTCAGACAGTACTTCTTGTCTTGCGATAATTCTTCTTTTGCCAAACAGTTTAAGCTGGATCAGGTTTTCAACTTACTTTGACTAGGCCAGTCTAACACCCTGTGATTTTATCTAAACTGTTCCTGGCTGTCTGTTTAGGAGTGTTGTCCTACTGGAAGGTAATCCCCCACCCCAGCCTCAAGTGTTTATCAATATCCATCCATACTCAGATTGATACCCGCCTATATCTAAACCTACTTTACGCATTTCTGTAAACATGTAATTTTATGATTTCTGTAACTATGACGACTTCTCGTGAGCCTGACCTTTGTTGGTGGCCTGACCTTTGTTGGTGGCCTGACCTTTGTTGGTGGGAACAGGAAGTCCTGTGTTGCAGTGTGTGATCGGTGGCTCCAGGCGTTACCTGGACAAAAGAGGGACAAACACAAACAAATGTTCACACTTTTCATACTTTCACTTGTACAAATAATCGTGAACCACATATAATTTCCCCTCCACTTCAGAGTTGTGAACTACTTTGTGTTGTTCTGCTGCGTGAAGTCACAACATACTCAGGTTTGTGGAGCAGAGGCTCAGAATGTGAAAACGCTGAAGGTGTTCATAACACAGTTACCTCCAGATTATTACTTTTAAAACATCTTCAGACTACAAACTGACATCAGCAGCGGCATCATGGAAGACTGATAATGTCCAGCTGACTGCTGCCACAGTAGCTTTCTTTCAGAAATGCCTTTTGATAAAAAGACCTTTCTTCGTTCTTCTCCTCGTTTTCCTGCCTCACATTTTTTTTTTAATCTAAGCCCCAACAGATTAAAAGAAGGCCAGAATACTCGGCCTGCTGCATATGAGCAGCAAATTTGACCTCTGACCCTCACCGACTTCTGGCTTTTTAAAAACAATTCAGACATTTTTCACTCCCCCCGCCCAGGCAAATTAAACACCCTCCATTAATTCAACTCCTCTGTGTGCAGTGGCGGAGCTAGACTTTTTTTCAAGGGGGGGCCAAAGGGTGAGCAAGGCTTTATCAAAGGGGTCCGTATACAAATGGACCGTTCCATGGAACAAAAGGAAAAATTATTTGTTTCCTTTCGTTCAAAATTAATTAATATAACTAGTGAGGTTATAATTCAAAGTTTTCATATGACATAGCCTACTTACATTTCAGTCATTATTAAACTTAATGGTTTTTCACATATTCTTACCACACACATTTCAAGCAAGAGCTGGGAGATAGAAAACATTAGAGGGCAGCATGTCACTAAAACATGTGTTAAAAGAATGTCTAAAACATGATCTACCAGCACTAGCATGGCTAATATAATAAACGAGGCACTACGCAGCGGTGCTTTTTAGAAATGTATGACAAGTGCCGCCTCTCATTAGGAAGGAAACAGTGGTTACAGCTGAGCGGTAAAATGTAAATACCTGCAAAACTCCTTGAAGGTGTAACTCTAAAGCCGCGGATGTGTTTTGGAACAAGCAGGAACCACATGTCAGTTTAACCAATGAATAGCGTCGGACATCGGGCTGCC